CCAAGTATGGTTGTACAGACAAGGCCTTGCACAAGGATGCCTGGCACAAGAGGGCCTGAAATTTGCCCTTCATCGTTCGTCAAGACTTGAACACCAGTGAAGGGACTTTTTTCTTTGTATACCCAGAGGGAACACCCTTTTTCTAATGTGCTCAAAGACACTCTATGTGCTAGCTGTGGCCCTGTTCAAAGGCTCCCCATGAATGAAGTATCTTCTTTTCGGCAACCAAATATATATATACACACTGCTAAGAAGCTTCTACAAAGTTAAAGAGATACCACAGATAAACACATTGCCTTGGTCACCATGGCATCCCCAGCACCTAGATCATTCATTACCTGATATATGAGAGTCACGCAATAAACACTATGTAGAGATCAAAAAATTCAAGGAGTATTATCTGACAAATAATGATATTAAAAAGTGAGCACAGAATACAATTATTTCTGTAGATGCCTTATTACGGAAAAAGTAAAAACTGTGTAATGTCTACACACACACACATACACACACACACACACACACACACACATATATATTTTTTTTAATTCATGGCTGCCTTCATCTCTTCCCACCCAAATACTTTTAGGATTTGTCTCAATGAATTTCTTCTTTATTTAAGGTAATCAAGGACTCAAAGTCAATAATTTTCTTCTCTGTGTTACTAATATAGGAAAATTCCTATGTTAGCCACAAAAGTTTGAAGTTGCAGCATTACTGTTAGATATACAATATTTTATACTACAAAGTACACTGAACTAAAATAGTAGCATGTCCACTGTTTAAAAACATAGCTCCCATTAAAGACTGAGAAATCACATGCACATAAATCTCTATTTGTTAAGTCATCTGCATATTTTGATTAGAGAAAATGTTAAGCTCTAAAAAGCATAATAAATCTAGTGTGGATGAGTCTTCATTTGTACTATTTTCTATATATTATTCTACTGCATAATATAATTGTAAATATAAATATAAAACAAGACACAAGACTTAAGCCTTATGAGTTACTGAATACAAGAATATATAAATTACTTACAAAATTATCATTCCAACTAATTCTAATTACAGAAAAAAAATCTTATTAAAGCTAGAAAAGCACTAATTACCAATTGGAAAATTTTAGAAATTAATACTGAATACAAATTTACACTTATAGACTTGGGAAATCATTTTGATTAAAAGAAGCTACTGTTTTCATTTCATTCATTTCATTTTCTAAGATTAATTTCAAATTAATCTGAAATTAATGCTGTTTTCTATACAAACAAATATAACAGTAATACTAGCTAGGATAATATTTATTACAGTAATGAAAAGACAAGAAGAACGAGTTTTAAGGAATGAATTATTGAGTCTCTTATATGTAGAAAGGCTTAGAAATCATGCTAGTAAAAATCAGAAAGTACTAGAGATCAAATCTGCTGTCAACTCAATCAACTATCAGTGACTCTCAGAAAAAACTCAGTGAGAAGACTCTCAAAGAAGCATATGAACATCATGATATATCAAGAAACTATTCTCATTATGAATTATACATAAAAATATTTTATAAAAATCTGCAAATTTTTTCAGTACACCTATATCATGTACTCATAATCTAAATTCCTCAATAAAAGATAAGGACACTGAAACCCAGAGACATGAGGTATATTGTTAATTATCAGCACCAATGTCAGTGACCTCATTTGGATGCTCCTTCTACTAAATCACTAGGCATTCAGTCATAGTGAACTAGAAAAAAACAAGTATTTATGAAAGTTATTCATGCTGGAATTTAAGGTGCTCTGTCTAGCCCACTTATATGGATACCAAAGTGCAGCTATGTTTCATGTGACCTTTCTTCCTACACCCTACTCTGCTAAGGTACTCTCTTCCTGTTTAATACCACACTCTTGAACTATACTCTTGAATCTAACCCTCCCTATCTCTCAACAATTTTGCTCCATCAGTAATTACCTTCTCTATTTTCAGTCTTTCAGAAGAACAACTCACATGATAGCTGTCTTCCCTCAGAGCAAGCAAGAGAATTCCCAAAAGTCAGAGCCTTGTATAACCTAACATTGGAAGCCACATCCCATCCTTTTTGCTAAATTGTATTCATTAGAAGCAAGTCACTGGGTCTAGGCTACACTTAAGGGAAGAGAATTACACAAAGTTATGAATACCAGAATGCTGGCTTAAAAGACACCACCTCAAAGGCTGACTGCCATATCACCTAAAGAACAACAGCAGGCAAGGACACTTGCTAACTAGGTGCCAGAACTTCTTATAAAGGAAGCAATTAATAAGATGTGGTAATGGCACAGGATAAACAAATTGACTAGCGGAATATAATAGAGAATCCAGAAACAAATAAGTGCATAAATGAAATTTTGGGAAATGATAGGGTGACAAGATAAGTAACAAGGAAAAGGAGAACTATTCCAAATGGAGGTAAAAAAGTAGTTATCCATATAAAAAGTGTGGTCCTAACCTGCTCTTTCACCATTTAAAAAATAAAACCTTAAAACTCTCAGTAAAAACATAGGTAGTAATTTTTTAGTCCTTACAGAATGATATTGATTATAAAAGATATAAGATTCAAATTAATAAGCTATTCACTAAAATACCTTTAAAACAGGGCTGGAGATTTAGCTCAGTGGTTCCTGCGCCTGCCTCGCAAGCGCAAGGTCCTGAGTTCAATCCCTGGTACCAAAAAAAAACCCCAAAAAACCTTTAAAACAGTAAAATATAGATTTAAAAACTGGGAAACATAGTCAACAAAAGTCGACTGTCAAAAAATAAAGAAAGAAACATACATTGGAGGAAAGATAGCCTCATTAATAAATGGTGTTGGCAAAGTGGTTATCCACATCAAGAAGATTGAACCTGGACTCATAACTCTCACCACGTCCTAAACTCAAATAAAAATGGATCAAAGAACTCAATATTAAAACACAAACAATCTACTGGAAGATAAAGTAGGTAAACTCTTGAAGTCAAAGGCATAGGCAAGGACTTTCTGAACAGAACGCAGTTGCACTTGAAATAGTACTACTGAGAATGAACAAATGGGATCATATCAAATTAAAAAGCTTTGCACAGCAAAAGAAACAACCAGCAGAGTGAAAAGACAACCTACACAAGGGAGAAAAAACTGCCAGCTATTCCTCAGAGGACTACTATCTAGAGTTTATAAATAACTGAAAAAAAAATCAGACCACCAAAATAAAAGACCCAATCAAAAAACAGGCAAGTGAAATGAATAGATACTTCACAGCAGAAGTACAAATGGCCAATACTTGAAAAAATGCTCCACATCTCTGGCAATTAGAGAAATGCAAATTAAAACAACACTGAGATTCTATCTTACCCTAGAAAGAATAGCCATCATCAAAAAAAATCAAATAATAACAAATTGGCAAGGGTGCAGAGATAAAAGCTAAGAATATAACTAGTACAACCCACTATGGAAATCAGTATGGAAATTCCTCAAAAAAAGAAAACTAGAAACTCCATGTGACCCAGCTATCCCCCTTGTCGGTATCTTTCTGAAAGAATTAAAGACATCATATTACAGTGATACACACATACCCATTTTTATAGCAGCATAATTCATAATAGCTAAATCTTGGAAGTGGCTTATATGTCCATCAATAGATAAATGGATAAAGAAAATGTGAAATTTACATGAAATAGAGTACTACTCTGCCAAAAAGAAAGATAAACGAGTCATTTGTAGGAAAATGAATGCACCTTGAGACCTTAATGTTAAGTAAAATAAATCAGACACACTAGCTTATATATCACATGGTTTCTCTTATATAAGAAGCTCAAATTATAAGTAAAGAGCAAAACAAAAGACAGATAATAGGAAGTAAGGAGATAGATCTTTCTCAAATGGGAATAACATCAAGAGCTGGAGGGACAGGGAAGGAAGAGATGGGGAGGGAGATGAAAAAAGGAATTAAGATGTGTTATGTACATGTATCAATATCATACAAGGAATGTAAACATTATGTACGGCAGACATGTATTAATAAAAATAAATAAATAAATATGATTTCATAGAAAAAAAGAGTAAATAAAGAACTCACATAAATTAATGAGGAAACTAAAAACAACCCAACGGGCAAAGTATATGAATAAGCACTTAAGAGAATAAACACATAAAGAAACACTCAAGATTATTAGTAATCAAAGAAATACAACTTAAAACCACAGTGGGATAATCCATTCAACTGGCAAAAATGAAAACATCTGACAATACCAAATATTGGAGACAGTACAGCTCCAAAAGATCTTGTATACATTGCTGGTACAAAGTAAACTGAGGAACCACTTCGGAAGCACTGCTGGAAATTACTGTATCTTCTGATGTTGAATATTAGCAACACTCCATCATTAGAAGAGTAAATGTGAAAGCCACAGTACAATCACACAATGGGATACTATACAGCAGCCCTGAAATGCACAAGGATTAATTTCAACAATATACAGTAATATTGAGGGTACAAGGTAAAACCTAAAAGATTATATACTTTTTTTTATAAAGTTAAAACACTTGAGATTAAACAATTCCTACTGAATATGAGATTCGGCATGACAATTTCCTCAGGTCTGTGGAAGAAGATAAAGGAGAGATGCATAAGATTAGATGTCAGTTACTGTTAAAAACCTAGTTTTTGTGGTGGTGGGCTTTGAGTATAGTTATTACATTAAAAATAAATAAATAGCCTGAACTAATGAGAGTGTGTCATGAAATAAAGGTATGTTTATATAAACTGTACAGCTAAATTTTTAAAAAATGTTCCACAAGCTGCATGAAGCATTTTTTTATTTCAGTTTGCATGTTAATCACACTCTTCAACAACTCCTATAGCAAGTATAATTTGTATCACATGCTGCATCTTCTCTCTGTTGTTTCAAATGTAAAGGTCTTACTACCGTCCCAAGAATATAAATATTTCCGACTTTCTTAAGGATCTGTTAAATTAATAGAAAAAGCACCTACTAACCTGTTATGGCTGAGGGAAGCAGAGATGGATATAGGCACGACCGTCTGTGACCCTTCACCTTCTATCTCAGTACCAACTAGGCAGATGAGCTGGAGTTCTGGTAATCCTACACAGTTTACTTCATGCCAACTTTTACCTGAAAGAGTGTCATTGAGTGGACAATAATGTTTATCAAAAATAAAAGATAAAAATTTCAAACTTCTACCTAGTACCCAGCTAAACAAATTTATTTATAATACTACCTCCTTTTTTTTTTTACTTTTCTAGTCTTTTCTGTTACCTAGTTATTCCCAATGTAAATGAATGAATAATATAAAATTAACTGGCAAAATTAATAGCAAGTGAATAAATGGTTGCTTCTTAAATTTTAACAATGCTATATTCCAACCCAACTCCTCAAACTCCCACCACACCCTGGTAACAAAACAATATAAACAAACAACTTACTCTCCATGAGGTCCAGGTAAACCAAGAATGCTATATATACTTGGGTGGCATCTCCTATATCTAATTCCATCATTTCTAAATACTGAAAATCAAAATGTAATTGTCAAATAGAGAAGGAAGAATCTCAAAATTGTCTTTTAATAAACAAGATATACACATGTATATATTTTTATATAAACAACTATCATCTAGATTTAGAGGAAGTTAAAAGGCAATGTAAGATCTGATCTGTCTCTCTAAAGAATTTACAATTGTGAGAGTAAACATATACTACACAGCATCTTCCCACCAGTGTCCATGGGAGGTTGGTTCCAGGACATCCTACCTTCCATAGGTAACAAAATCCAAGAATGTTCAATACCCTGATATAAAATACTATAGTATTTGCATATAACTAACGTATGCAATACTTCCATATATTTTAAATCATCTATAGATTACATATAATACCTAATACAATATAAACTTATCTAAGTAGTTGTTATATGCATTGTTTAGAGAAAATAACAAGGAAAAAGTCTACACATGTTCAGCACAGATGCAATTTTTTTTCAAACATTTTCAATGCAAAGTTAGTTGAATCTGAGGATACAGACCTCATGGACATGGATGGCTGAGTGTACCTATAATTTTAGGTAAATAACAACATATGACAATGATTAAAACCATGTAAGTCAGAGGAATTAAGGAAGGCTGGTTGATGAATGCTTCATGACATATGGGATAGAAGTGAATTTTGTAACATACATATTTGAGTAAACAGAGAAGTAGAGTTATAGTGCAGGTAGTCACACAAAGGTGGGAATAAGCCACACATACTCAGAAACCAATAAAGAAATCTCTCTGCCAGGAATAGGTAAGTTTTTAATAGAATTTTTGTTGGGATATGTTAATAGGGAGCCTGTACTTACCTGACCTCTTACTGCTTATGGAAAGAGTCTCTAGAATACCATTCTAACCTGTCTTTCATTTCTCACTCAAGGGCAGGGAGATGTCTAATTGTTGAATTTTAAAGAAGCAAACTGCTGCTTCTTTCATACTTGCTGGCAGGCATGAAAGGAACATTTTTCAGCAGCCTACCCCTGCAGAGGAAGCCCAAAACTGCCCAGATTTGTCAGTAAGGGGATAAACAGTGTGATGAAGTGGTGAGCCATTAATCAAATCTGCACAGGAGTAGATGTGAAGTCACCTTCTCCCAATACCTTAATGGTAAGTGGACAGGTGTAGAAGAGGGGTGTCTGACCCAAACCGCAAATGGATTAAAAAAAAAACAAAACCTCAAACGGACTGAAAAAATAATTTCAGGTTAGGTTAGAAAAATCTTTGTGGTCAAGCTTTAAAGCATGGATTTATCCATAAGGAAATAATTAAGATTTCTAAACTGGAGAATAGTATAATAAAAGTGGCATCTGCAGATGGAAAATCTGATACCATTTTACTGAATTTCCCAATACCATTTTATTAAGCAATTTTCTAATTGAATAATAAGAAGAAAGAACTGGAAAATACCCACTATTATTTGTTTTTTTCTTCTATTTTGTTTTTGTTTTTGTTTTGGTACCAGGGAATTGAACCTGGGACCTTGTGCTTTCGAGGCAGGCACCGGAACCACTGAGCTAAATCCCCGGCCCTCTTCTTCTTCTTCTTCTTTTTTTTTTTTTTTTTAAGTCAATTGGATCCTTCAAGAACAAAAATCAAAAGGAAGATTTGGTGATCAGGGATTATGTAGCCACTGACTTAAAAAAGAAAAAGAATCTGCACGTAACATTAAATCTGTTACTGTTCCATACTTACATAGTGCTTTCAATACGTCTATACACCTTATAAAAATTACTAATCCTCTGAGATAAGTGTTACTATTATCTGTTTTTTATATAAAGAAACAGGCATAATGGAATAAAGCAAAGAAATCGAGGCAGAATGAGATCAAGCAAGTCAAATCAAACCACAAAGCTGGTGACAGAACTAAAATTCGAACTCAGGGAGCCTGAATCTGAGTTCTTGCTCATTCTTTTTCTTTTTATGGCACTGAATAACATTTCCATGCCATTGTTTCCTTTGGGACAGAATGAAAGGAACAGAACTGGAAGATAAAATCAAGCAAGAAAAGATTTTTTTTAAGGTTCACTCCAGATTTTTTCTTTTCTTGACTGCTTTTAGATGATTATCTATGGATTACTGTTCTCAAACAAACGAGTGCAATTCTACTACAGTAATGAACCAGTCTGGTCAGCGAGTCCTACAAAACTCACCTCTCCATTCACTGTTTGGGGAGCTAATGGTAGAGGCAAAAATTTTCCAAGCAGAAGCAAACAAAGGGCTACCTTTATCTCCCTTGCTGGTAACACAGAAAAATATTCACAATATGACTAGCTTTTCCTTTAGCAAGAACTTACTCAAATTTTCCCAGAAATGTGGGAAATTGGGAATCTCCACCTGTGCAGAAGCAAGGTGCACACTCTGGGCCTAAGGCTACCTTGTAAATGTTGACTGTGCTTAAACCTTTATCCTTGGGGCCTCCAAGGTCTCATCCACGGCCCAGGGTCTTGCAGTTAGTTACTGTAAGGATTAAATACATCTCAGAAAGGAACTCTTTTCTAGACACCAAAACAGGTACTAGTGGAGAGCTTGGGGTGTGTGTGGGGGGGGGGGGTCCTTCGGGTTGAGAAAGGAGGGGGGTTGATGTCTTGCCCTTTAAGAATTAATTTGGTGAGGGCCTAGGAAAGGTGTCAGAGCCACGGTTCAAATCATTTAAACAAATGAAAACTCTACTGCTTGTGGCTTGCGGGTGCGCACACGGGCGCCCTGGGAGTGGGCGTGGACGTGCCAACCCCAGAGGTAGCGCAACCCAGGTGCTCCACCTGAGGTAGAGTCCGAGACCCGCGCCCTGGTCCTTTCCCGCCTCCTGACCTTAGGATGGGTGCCCATCCAGGCGTCCTCCGGGGCCCACGAGTGAGCGCCGCCGCCACTGCGAACACCACGCGGGTCCAGGCAGCTACAGCCCGGGGTAGGCTCGGAATCGCCGCGCTCCTCCATGCCGGCAAGGGCGGCGCGCCAGTGTGCACTCGGACCGCAGCCCGACCAGAAGCAGGGGTGCGCTCGCCCGGGTTCCGCTTCCGTGCCGCTTGCAGCCGCGCTCGGAAGGCTCCGACCCAGGGAGGAAAGCTAGAGCAGACTCTCGCTGTAACGCTGGGAGCTGCGCGCGCACAAATGCACACTCATTTCTCCGGTTTATTCAAATCTGGGCAGACTGTAAGGTGAAGGTTCGAGTGTCACTCTAAGCCCAGAAGCCTTTAACCCCCCTTAAGTCAGTGCTGCCTGCAGTTCTCTTAGAAAGTGGGGGGCATTTGACTCCCCTTTGCCTTGAACAAGGAAGCCTTGTTCGGTGCTCTGTCACCAAAGTTTAAAGTAGACCCATACTACACCTTTCAAGATCCGAGGAAACAAGAGTTGTTGAGTGAGTGGTTTGACGTGATCTGGAAGCTAAGGACAGAGTTTTAGAATGGCAGGTAGGACCTTGTAAGCATCTTTGGCTTCGCTATAGTGAAACAGGGAGCCGTTGGAGGTTGATTTTTCGTAAGATCCTTGCAACTGATGCATTGACAACAGACTGGAGGGCTCAGGGTAGGAGCAAGGAGTGGTTGAGGGGTGGTTAAGGGGCTATTGCACTAACCAGGGAAAGAAAGGACTCTCACAAATTTAGTAGGATAGAACTTTACTTCCAAACATGATAGAACAAGAACCTACTGTTGAAACTGACAGATCTAAGTATTTTAATGTGACGATTATAACTATTCTTAATGAGATGAAACATGTTTTCAGTGGATGAGAGAATCTCAAAAGACAAGAAGAAAATCTCAACAAAGAAAAAGAAAAAACTTTTAAAACCAAGTAGACATTCTGTAACTGGAAATTATAACTTAAGACTTTTTTTTTTAAAAGCTCACTGGGTGATTTTTAATAGCCGAAAGGAAATAGCAGAGGAAGAAGTAATTGAGTTTAAAATTAGAGCAATAGATACCATCCAGAGCAATAGAAATCATCCAAAGTGAACTACAATGAGAAAGATGAGTTTTAAAAAATTAACAAAGTCTCAGAAACTTGCTACATCATATTAATCCAACATACATGTAAATGGAATAATAGAAATAGAGTAAGGCTCAAACTTTTGAAATAATGGCCAGAACTTCCCCAAATTTGGTTAAAGACAGAAATGTGGCAATACAAAATGCCAAATGAACAACAACTAAAATAAACTCAAAGGAGTCCTCACTGTTTCAAATTGTTGAAAGTCAAAGAAAAAGAGAAAATATCAATGCATCAGAAGAAACATAGTCTATTACACATAAAAAGCCATGCACTAAGATTCCAAAGTTGTCACTGAATACATTGCATTTGACTAAAATCATTAACCTTTCCCTCCTCAAAGCAGCTACTGAGTCTCAAAGAAGCAAATGGCATTGAAATTAGTAGGCTTATTGAAGCGTTGAACACTGACACTGATTCAAGTGAGAAGTGAATAAATCTTTCTCTCTGACTCCTGAAGATTAAAATCAGTTTGGATGATGCTATTTATAGAAGCATTAGGAGCCTTTTGTTGCTAGTCTGAATGGAAGGGAAATTTTATAAATCAGAAAGGAGATCTAATAGTATCCGATCCTATATGAACAAGGCCTAAATATCTTCAAGGAATGATTTTCAGCTTAAATTTAAGAAAAAAAAGGAAGAGTCAAGGGTGGTGTTAGGGCACCCCAGAAGGATGAAGAAAGAATCATAAACTCAAAAAGCAGCAGAGGAATGCCATGCTTTGGCAAATAGATTAGGTGCTTTTGCTTAGAAAAAAGCATGATATATTCAAGCCTAAATATTAAATTCTTCTGACTTTCAATGTCACTTTAGGAGTTAGACAATGAAAATGTAGTACCTCTTGGCTTCCAAAGTAAGCAATAAAAGGTTTAAATAGGTCTTGCTGATGGCAAATGGCTAAGAACAAACACAAGTATGAGGACACTTAGAAAACCTAGTATTTAAATTATAGAATCAAGGTGCTATTGTGGCAATCTAAAGTGAAATTCACCAAAGAACAGGGTTGAGTTTCAGCTTCTGGAAAACTGAAGGATTTCTCCTTTTGTAAATATTTCAGTAGTTCACTATAGTAGAGAACTAAAGTGATTAGGAAAAAACTCAGTAACAACAAATAAGATTCTCTCCTGAGTATACTATATTTAATCAAATTCTGTGTAATCTAGCACTTGCTGCACTGATTTCTCAACTTGATATCCTGAGCCAGACCAGTTTATTCCTGTAAAAAAAAGTCTGTAATGTTTAGGCAGAGATGTATTAGTTCAGTTACAGTCTCAAGAGGAAAAGGAAACATGGAATTGTGATGCAAATCTTTAGTGTGTTAAAAAAAAGAAAAAGAAAAAAGAAAAAGCTTTTCCAACGTATTGTATCAGACAATTATCTCAAGTTGGAAAATTAGAGATAACATTCAAGATCAACTTTTGAATAATTTTGAATAAGCTAATGAAATTAGCTTTTCCTATATCTTATTCATTTGGGGGGCACAAACCATACAATTTGTCATTCTGGTTTCCAGAATTGATGAGAGTTAATTCTTCTAGTATAATATTTAGAAAGCTGTGATATGTTACTATGCAAATCTATGACCATATTTGAGGAATCTCTATCATGTGGAAAAAAATAGAATATTCCAGATACTATTCTATTTTTTTCCATAAATTTACCAAGGCAATCTGAATTTATGAAATCAGGATGTAGTATATTTTAATTTTTAAGGCTGCTTACATTTAGAACAAAACAACAAAAGTAAGGTACCTAAAAAAAGGCAATCAAGATCTTTACAAAGAACATTGTGCATGTTATTGAAGATTAATAGACAGGACCTAAAGGTCCTGAAGGACCTCTCTCTGGAGAAAAAGATTAATTATTGTAAAGATGGCAATTTCCCCTAAGTTGATCTATAGATTCTGGCAATCCCAACGAAAATTCCAAAAGACAAATTCCTGATAGATTCCTAACACTTGATAAGCTGGTTGTGAAATGTAGGAATATAGGGCCAAAAATAACCAAGACATTTCTTATGAACAAATGGAGAGAATGTCTTATAAAGATCTTAAATTAAGAATATGTGATATTGATACAGAGGCGGGTAAGAAACATCAATAGAACAAACTAGAGAGCCGAAGAACCAAAGAACAGTCCCATACAAGTATGAACAGAGGTGAAGTTGCAGATGTGGGAAAGGAAGAAAAGAAAGGATGATTCAACAAATGGTACAGAGGCAAACATTTTTAAAGTTTTAGGAGAAAATATAAAAGAATAATATATGATCCCCAAATAGAGATATATTTCTTAAACAAAACACAAAAAGCGTAAGCTGTATGAAAAAAGTTTGACAAATTTAACTATATTTCAATTAAGAATTTCTGCCACAAAGAGAGTGAGGTTTTGGAAAAGATGTGGAGAGGGCATCTAAGCATGTCGTTGAAAGAAAATATACAGAACTTCTAAGAACCAATTAGGAGACAAAATGAAACACCTCTTAAGGAAAAAAGACAAATAGCCAGCAAACATGAATTCATGCTCAAGAACATGAGTTAGGTGTGAAAATACAAATTGAGGCATAGCAATCCATCAGATTACCTGCCAAACACAGGAGCTGGTTGAAAAGAAGAGCAAAGGGAAGACACACAAAGTTATGATCCATCAAGTCAACTCCCAGCTACCAATCCCAGAGCAATATTTTAAAAATGAACTTCTAGTACCCATTAATGGTTGCAAAATAACTTGAATAGGTAGGGTATAGTTTTGTAGAAGGAATTATTTAAAAATGAATATATAGCTTAAATCAACCACTTGAATGGGTCCCCCAAAACCCCTACCATCAAAAATGTTAGTCACTAAAGAATATATAAGGTATGATTTAATTTACATAAAATTCATGTATAGTAGCATTATTTATAACAGCCCCCAAATGAAAACATCCTAAATATCTATCAGCTAAAGAATATATAAGAAAAATGTGGTATGTTCACATAGTGGAATGTTTTTTGGTAATAGGAAAAAAGTACTGCTACAATGTGGATCCAAGTTTAAAAAAAAGGAGCCAATCATAGTGGATCACATAGTCTACAATTCCATTTGTATGAAATGTCTAAAATAGGCAAATCCATAGGGACAAAAAAATAGTAGTTTCCTGGAGTTGGAAATGAGGGGGCACAAAGACAGAGAGAGAAGAATTGGCTCCTGTGGGTGGGAAAGGCTCAAATCTGCAGGTTAGGCTGGTAGGAGGAAGGCCCAGGAAAGAGTGGATGGTGCTGCCTTGAGTCCAAATGCATGATTCCTTCTTTCTTTGGGGATCCCATTCTTTTCTTGTAAGCCTTCAATACCCTGGACAAGGCCCACCCACATTATGAAGGGAAATCTGCTTTTCAAATTCTACTGATTTAAATGGTAATCATATCTGAAAAAAATCCCTCACAACAACATCTATACTGATTTGATCAAACAATAAAACACTTTAGCCAAGCCAAGTTGATACACAAAATAAACCATCACAGGAAGTAAAATTATAAACAAAATTTTAAAACTGATTAAAATAAAATTCAGTCTAGTGCTCATCTCTGGATAGTAGAGCAAAGTATCATGACAAAAAGGGACACACAGAGCCCCCAATTAATGGTCATGTTCTGTTTCTCAAGGCAGGTACTAGGTATGTGGACATTCATTTTATTAATAGTATTTTAGCTAATGGCTTACACATGTGTTCATTTATAATGTATTCCATGTTTATAAAATGTTTTATGTTAATTTTTTTCTGGACTACAAAGGGATAATAAGTTGGCATTTCTGTAAATAAAGAGTTGCATATATGCATAGAAATAAAAACTAGCTTTGCAAATATGAAAAGACATCAAAAGCAATAGTTCAAAAAATGTCCCATCTCTCTAGGCATTTAGTAAACATCTGCTTTCAACGTATGTACTATATGGAGCCTCACTGAAGAAGACTGAGTACAACTCACACAGAAAATATACAAAGTGAAAATGCCACTAAAATTACTTCAAGACCCACAGCAACCAGCCAGCAAACGGTGAGGAC